AGAAGGATGAATGAGAAAAACGGGGAGCAGGAACAGGAAAGACTGGTTTCAGAGAAGCTGGCAAGGAGACAGTTTTGATAAGGAGACTGCAATTAATAATGTAAAAACTAAGGAAACATTGTGAAAAATAAAGACTAAAAAACATTGTGCAATAGGAAGTAACTCTAGAGATCACTGGTGACCCTGGTGAAAGTAGTTTATGAGTCAAGGAGACAGAAGCTAGACTTGAATGACTTCGAGAATAAATGGCAGTTAAGCCCAAAGAGAAAACAACCATGAGAACTTTTCAAAAGGCTCATATGGAAGGAAGTCAAAGAGACACAGGGACAGTTAAAGAGTATGTAGGTTTCAAAGAAGAAGTGGTTTAAATAGGTTTCAGTGCCATTAGGAAGACTCAGTAGAAAGGGAGTTGTTGAAGACGAAGGAGAAACACAGTCCTTGGAGAACTGGATTATTTTCACAAACATACCAAGTAATTTGAAAACTTACCAATGACCTTGACATGGAAAGTACAGCTGGCTTGGTTGCTGGATAGGTCAACTGCTGTGTATGTGATAGCAACATCTCCAATTGGAAAAAGGTAAGGTGGGGTAAAAGCTGGGTGAACCTGGATTGACACCTTTTGGGGATAAAGGAATATTTTGAATATAAAATTGTACACTTGAAACCTATATTATTTTATTAACCAATGTCACCCCCAATACATTGAATTAAAAATTAAAAATTAAAAAAATAAAATCTATTGTGGAAATTTAAGCCTAAAAATGTTAATAACAATAGTACATTTACTTTTTTTATCTATATATTGTTAGTAAAGTGAAGTTAAAAATGACACAGTGTTTCACATATAGTACAAAGCAAAAATATGAGGCACAGCCTTTTGATATACTTCTTTCCAGACTATTTTATTTACAAAGTTTGTAGCATTGGCATACATATGAAATGCTCCTTGTTTTTAAAATATAATACCTTAAAACATTTTTATTCATAGTCTTTAGTACTTAAGATGATGCTTAAATGTCTCCACAATGTTCTGTAGAATGAATACATGGTAATTTCTGGAAGAAAAATCCATTGAAGGACACTTAAATTGGTCCCAAATTTTACTACTGTAAACAGTATGAACAGTTTTGCACAGAGAATTTAAAAATATTTTTACTATGTTCTTATAATAAATTTCCATGAACAGGATTACTACTTCAAAGTCACTAACATCTTATTGATAGATAATACAAAATTTCTTTTCCAAAGCGTAGTAATAATTTGCATTCCTATTGTTATTATTTGACAGTGTCAGTGTCAAAGTTCCCACCCAAAATTCCCTGATCTATATTAAGTATCATTACTTTTGGATAAGTTAAAAATACGGCACCCAGTCATTGTTTTAACGCAATTTCTTAGTGTCTTATGTTAAGATTAAAGTCTCACGTTTGCATGGTATAGATATATTCTTTCCTTTTAGAATTATGTGTGTACCTCCTCAGTCCATTTGAAAATTATGATGTGATAAAAATAAATTTGTATTAATGCTATGTAATAAACATTCTAGGCATTGACAAGTTTGAAACTTGTCAATTTCTCTAGTTTGCTATTTATCTTTTAATTTAGGAGTTTTCTAAAATACAAATTAAAAATACTTTTGTAGTCAAACACATTTGTCTTTTCTATTGTATTTTAAAATTCCTACTTAAGAACACAAGGCTGATCATTCTTTAACAAATGAGGCATTAATATTTATGAGTAGAGTGTGTATATATATATATATATATATA